TGTGGAAGATGGAGTTATTGGATTAGGGACTGGTGACCTGTACTTAGGCCTATCTGCTTTCAATGGTTGGTCACATGACTTGGTTGCAGTAATGCAGACACACATAGCACACATAGCCTGCCAATTCTGCCACAGTTTTGGTTACCACTCAGCAGCTGTCATGATGTCTTTATTTCTGAATGCACATCAAACAGAAAAGAAGATTGCATGTATTATTAAGCCTTAGATGAAAGGTTATTTGTAGCCTTTTTACACTGATGTGATGATGATGGTTAACAGATTACTGGACCAAACCTCAAAGCAAGGACACAAAACTTTAGGAAGTTTGTCAGGTTTCCTTTGCTGTAAAATGTTCCTACCTTGGGACTTAAGTACCTTCATTCTTTTGTTTTGCTTCTTAATAGTTTCTAAAACTGAAAATCCACATAGTATTAAAAAAATAAAATAAAATAACCAGCAGTCTATTTTTTTTGTCCACTGTCTCGCTTAACCATGCCTGGCACCTGAAGTTTCCACTCCCCACCCTCTTCCCTCGGTCAGGAGCTGGCTGCATCTTTAACAGCCTCCTCTCTTTTTGTAAAGCTCTGACACTCAGTGTCTTTATAGTCTCTGATGCTTGTGGTTACTTTTATAAGGATTCCTGAAGGTTTACAGTGGAAGACTGTTGTAAAGTGTTGGTTTTGAGCATATACATTCTGATAGCTGTCTATTTGAACTCTGCAGATGTGTAAATTTGAAACCTAATAACTGTCAAATAATTGTAGGTTCAGAAGCAAACCTCCACAGAGTTAAGTTGAAGTTATAAGGTTAGTACAGACGTGTGAACGCAAGCAACCAAATGTTTCATTCGGACTTCAGCCGGAGTTCTCCTGCCAGACCCTGGTATTTTTTTTACAGCAAGTCTGGGTGAGCTGATGTGAGAACGAAGCAGGATATTCTGCAGAGGATTCACCTTGAGCCTCCCATCTGATAGGGATAGTCTCTCACTGTGAGATGCATACTGTATGTGAACAGCCAGGTCAGGAGACTATCTTTCTGGAGCAGTCCTCCTGAAGTTATCTAAATATTTTCAGATTATCTAGATATTTTTTAGGAGTGCATAATATATGCTCTCACACTGCTCTAGTTTACAAATTTGACTTTGGGTGTCTTACTTTATACGTTCCATTGGTGTTGTGATGTCTTAAGTCAATAAAAATATTTAGTGGTCAAGCTAAAAAGCACACTGCAATATTAATGTTGGCAACACAGAGCCTGCATTCATATTATGAACCTGGGTCATCGAAGTGACCAGGTTATCCTTTTGCTAATTCAACCGTTTCTTCTGTTCCTAATCACAAAGCTCCTGAATATTTAGACGGCGTACTGTTTATGAGCAGGGTGTAGCCTGCATTCCTACTCTGTCCTCCTGTGTGGACATTTGAATAAATAAACAGATTGGTGGGCTACAAGTCAGCTTGTCGCTGTTGCAACTTCTGCATTTGATAAACATTGCATCTGCCATGAGGTTAACAGCAATTATTATGTAATCTGAAGTAACTGTCTCTAACTATTGAAGGTCGTTGCAGAGAAGTAAACATTTAAAGATGGGACCACCAGATGGGACACTAAATCTGGTACGGGTTGGAGTGCGAAGGGGATGTCTGGCTGTTGAACCCATTCAAAGTTTCCTCAGTATTTTACACATCCTGTCCCTTAAGAGAGAGGCTGTTGAACATTTGCCAGTCCTTTTGAGTAACATTTCCTCATTAATCGAGCTTTTATGAAGGAGGATACAGGGCAGGGTCAGGAAGTGACACACTTGGCCTTTGTTGAGACAGATCTTCCTCTCATTGCCAGTAACAAGCCCCAGTAGGCAAAACAAGGTCAGAGAACAGCCTAGTGCGTGGAAAAAAAGAGAGGACGCTGTTTGTTTACATGGCCGAGAGGAGCAGAGATAATATTGCATGTATGAATTAGCATACGAATTAGCAAGTTAGACAGGTTTGACTGCATTGTTAGAGAGGCAGACGCACTGTCCTCTGAGATAAGGCCTCAATTAGTCTCTTTAGGACAGTCGGATAAAACTAAATCTACTATTCACTTCAATGTAATGCAAATGAAAAAGTATAATTTTTTTCCGCTTTATATTATCATGTACAGAATCAGCATTAGCATGTTTTAAGTGTTTTTGTCTTGCTCACTTGGCTTGTTTACAATAACCAAATATAGGTATAGACACCTTTTGGATGTTTTGTAAGTTTAAAAAAAAAACAACAGCAAAAAACTACCAAAACAAGTATTCTTGGGTTAGGTCACGTTTGCTGATAGGAGCCATGATTTTTAACACATGACTCACACTTTTGTATGTTCAGTCCCTTAAAATAACACAACCAGCTTCCAAACAAAGCATGCTTGATGTTCTGGGTCTCCATGGACTGGAGCTTTAGTGTACTGTTTAGCACTCCTTTTATAGGTAGTGACCTAGGTGAATTATGTAAGTACGTGCACAGTGCTGAAATCAACATCTGAACTCAGGATTGGTTTTGCCTTCATAAGGTAATTCACTGGGTTTTGAGTCCCCTTCGGTGCAGAGATGTTCAGATATCTTTTTCAAGCAGTGCCAACTCTGATGCCCAGACATGACCAATACCGGATACCCCTTTGATCCCAGTGCAATCAACAACAAAAAAAAGTACCAAAAAGTTACTTACCCCTGGAGCTTAACAACAGCAGTATGGATATGATAATTAGCTCAGTACACAGAAGGAATGCGCTTTCAACACAAGCTAAGCTCACATTAGCTGCAGCTTGTCTTGTGGTCATTCCTTACCAGCATCAGTGAAACCCTGATTTCTAACATGAAAGTGCTTTCATTTTTTTAATCACTTGTATATAACTGTTAATGATAAATAATTATTTCGGAAATTTTGATGCTTGAAACAGAGCTACACCTCCACTAGCATCACAAGGTTGTTTGCTAGATTTCCATGATACATTTGCTTAAATAAGCTCTACTTTTCTACTGAGTAACATTTGCTACAGGCAGCCCTGTATGCTTGCTGTGTATGACCTTTTTTGTTTTGAGAAACACGTCCATTTTTACAGGGTTGGCAGGCTAATTCTTTGTTATATGGATTTTCACAATACCTTTAGAAAACAATCTTTAAATGCTCAAAGTGTGACTGGAAATGTGATACAACCCCATGTAACACCTTTTTCCTGACTGAGCTTTATTGCTCCGTAAGGTTTTACAGCTTAATAAGAAAAGTCTCGGTAGTAGGACATTTTACCGCTACCAGTTGATTATTCCTGCACCTTCATGGAACATTTGGTTTTCATATTATCCATTAAAACGACTTTACTCCGGATATATCTGTCTTGAATATATGATCTAGTTTAATATCTCTCTGACAGGGTACTTGTCGCTTTAATTGAAGCAATTGGTGCTGATTTGCTAATGCAACAAACATATGGTGGTTTTTATTGTTTTTAGAGCACAAGTTTTCCAGAGTGACTGTGTCTTGGACATCCCCAGGTTTATAATAAGGAGCAGACAACGTGTAATCATCCAGCAGAGTTACAGTTTATGGTCAGACTACATTTATATTGCCACAAGGGAGGCACTGTTTAGCCAAGTGCTATTATGTCAGGTGGAGGGGGGATAGGGGAGGTCAAGGTGAGACACACAAACACACTTATATCCCCCGACATACACATGGATTTCCTGTGTACGATTTCAGAGCCATATTTATTCAAGGAGGTCCTGATTCTGGGCTGGTTTTAAAGCCCTGCAGGTTTTCAGGGGTCAGTTGTGGTGCACTAGACATTTGTTCAAGCTTGACATCATTACAGGAAAAGGTTCTTGGAGTCAGCTCATTTATTTCACCCTATGCACACATTTTTTTCTACCTCTTGACCTATATTCTTCACTTTTTCCTCATTCTTCTTAACGTTACAATTGTACTGAGACTGTCCAGATGTAACCTGGGCACTAAGTTATCCCAAGTCTTGCAATTTGAGGCATACCATGGGGCTACTTTGACAACCCCCCCCCCCTAAAAATTAAAAAAAAGTATAGTACCTCAGTTTTTGTCCATTTTTAACTCCTATGATATCCTTGACAGAAGCTCCAAAGTATCGAAAGCACATTGGCGTTGTGGGAAATGTCACTGGAAAAGCCCCTTTTTTTTTTTTCCATGGAGTGGAGCAATCAGAAAGCGTGCACACAATGTTTACTCAGTTTGTCAGCTGGTGATGCACATAAGTGAGGGCAGTTTTTTCAAACCTCTGCATCAGAGCCATGTGTGGTTTTCTGCTCTGTGAATACTTAATGGAACCAAATGAGCTCAAATCAAAGTCATTACAATTAACTCATAAGACATCCAAAAGCAGAACAGTTATAAAATATTTCAAATCTTTCTCGTGGTAGAGGTGGAAAGTCAATATTAAACAGATAATCATTCTCAGGGACACATAAAGCTCCAGTCTGTCCCAGCGTGCATTGCTGGAGAGGCTGTGTAAACTTGGATAGGTTGCCAAGTCCATCACAGGGCTAACACATTCACACTTGAGGGCAATCATTGTGTTTGTAGTAAATACTGACTCATTATGAGGTGGGATAATGTTGAAGAGGTGATTATTCCAGGCTCAGAGCCTCAGTTATGTAAGGCCTAAAATTGGATGAAGATGTTATTTGATGTGTGATTCTCACTCTCTCCCTCTCTCTCTCCTCCCTCTTTCCAACTGGCTCCAAGTAAGCCGATGAAGTCGAGGTTATATGAGAGTCTCTCTGCGGTGGTCGGCGGTCTCTGAGCAGAGCTGGCTGACATCATTCTCACAGGGGGGTGATGGTGTTAGCCAGGGCAGGGCAGGGCTTGGCTTGGAGCTCTACAGCAGAGCCAGTTTGGATTGAAAGCTGAAAATGTATATTGAGATTTACAGTTTTCCAGAGCATGCTGTGTGAAATTTTACTTCACATTTATAAAACACTAATATAGACTTTCTTTTATTGTGTACAGAACTGGGATTACTTGGATGGAGTGAGACATTACTGTCAAGGGAGATCTACAAATCTGGATTAGGACAATCGAAGTAGCAACTCTGAATCTTCTTACCTGCATTCAAACTCCAAAATGGATGGAATTGACACTTTGCAGAGCTCGGCTCTAGAGACAAAAGCTGAGCGAATCGCTCGCTATAAGGCAGAAAGGAAGCGGGAGCTTGCCGAGCGCTATGGAAACACAGACGAATTTACCTCCAAATATGTCCGCAGGGACAGGAAAATTGACGACACTGCCGAAACGGTATCTTCCGAAAAAAAGGAGAAGGATAAAATCGATAAATACGACGATAATGGATCAGAGAAATCTTACACCAGGAGGGGCCTCAGGAATAAAGCAGTAGAACCAGTGGACCACACTGAAGATGAGCCGGAGCAGGAAAAAGTGGAGACTCACCACAGAGAGACAGAAGTTGTCACATCTATCAAGACTTCCTCGCAATTCAGGTGAGATGTTCTGCTTCTAAGTAATAATGTTGTCTCAGATACAGCAGAGATGTTCCCATTGCATTATTTTCCAGATACATATTCAGGTTACTTACATTACATTACCATTGCTCCTTCAACATAGCCTAAGAATAATATTGTTTGTTAATGACAGATACAGTACCTGAAACAAGTAGATTGTTTGGGGGGCTTATTATTTATGGTATTCTATCAATGCATTGACTGGCTTACACATCATGCCATATGCTGCAAAAGTATTGGTTTATATTGATACCAGTATCTGTGTCAGAACAATTCTATAATTATTCCAGTTAATGAATTAATTTGATGCAGTAACTTATTAACCTTAAACATGAAAATCAACTAGTTATTGGTAAAGTAGAATGTGAAATTAACCTGTAACAATAAAGCTGTGCTAACGGAGATTATGTTTGTCAGCGCTAGCTATGTTACCCTCCAGTTCTAAAGTGTTGATATTCAGATAGAAAAAGATACAGGAACATCTTGAATTATCAAGAGTAAAAGGCAAAGTATGCGTTTGTTGCCTGTTTGTTTATACCAGTCCTTGCGTTGTTCCTTATGTTACATAAACTAGGCCAGAGACGTGAAACACAAAGCTACCAAGGTGTAAGGACTCTGACAACATCTCAGAAATAGGTCACTAAAAACCCTGATTGTTTGTCAGATATTCATGTGTGTCTCATTTTTGACTCAAAGTAGAGTGCTGTGACTGTGTAGTCATTCAGTTTAAATGTTCTCCCGACCTTCAAGGAAATCTGCTTAGACTTGTAGCTAAATGTTCAGATCACCTCTGATTAGATTTTATCCAGTACAGTGGCTCCTTTCTGAGGCATTCTTTGATTTAGTGAACATTTGCAGTTCAGCTAGTAGACTGTAGAAACAGCTATTAGATTACTGTAAAAGGGCTCACTGACTCTTAATGAGGGGAGAGGAGGCAACAAGTCGGCACATTTGCAGAACACTGAGCGCTATCTCCAGTTTGAAGTAAACACGACTGCCTACATTTCCAAAATTGGCCATGTGTACAAAGCAAAGAGGACTGGCTCATTTGCTTTATCATGTTATGTTCTACACTAATGACATGAAACCAGCTTGTTTTTGGTTTGTTTTAAAGCAACATGGAGGAGCTAGCATGTATAACGGAATGGGACAATAACAAACCAGGAGTTGTCAAAGAACATTTTGGATTTATCTAATTTGCTGTCAGCAGCGTTCCTCAGAGAGTTGTACATAAATGGAGTAAAACACGACCAGTCGTGTGTCTGGAGATGTTGTGAGCTGTAATCAAGCAGAGGATTATGCCGTGTGCACATAGCCAAACTTGTCTGTTCTTGAAAAAACAGCCTGAGGGAAAGAGAGAGAGAGAGAGAGAAGAGCTGAGATGGACGGTGTACAGATAAAGTCAGAGTTGGCCCACAGGGGGAGAGGTAGGATTATTGCACTCTGCCAAGTTTTCATGCCCTGCACTTAATGAAGCAAGGCATCTAGATAGCTGCAAGATGGCCAAATAAGATTGGGAAAGGGCATGTGTTATGTTGTAATAGACAGTACGTGCTGAAAACAGTACATGCAGCATTGCATTCTTCAGCAAATCTTAGTGAATCAAGTGTTTTATGTGATAATCTCGCTAAATTAAATTTTAATGAGAAGGGAGTAGTTTTCTCGCAGCCTGGGCTTACCACAAGCAGAGAGAATATTTAGTAAAACCCAGAGTAAAGTCACAGAAAAGTTATGGCTTACTTTTTTTTTTTTTTTAATTACAGAGAGCTTAAACACAGATTGGCAAGTTGATGTGTTTGTCCACATGCTTGTCTTTCATGGTGGCTATAATCTTGGCAGTTCTGTTTTGAGGTTTGCTACGTGTCAAGGTTAATTGTGAAGTCTATTTTCTGCAGGTATGCTTATGAAACGTGCAAAGCATTTAAGGTAGAAGCAGTTGTTATTGGTCAATAACCTGCCAGGGAAAGTTGTTTTCCCCCATTAAATTCGAGGGAATAATTGGAATTCTCTGCTCTTGCATTGTCATTCATGTCACCTTTCTTTATTTTAAAGCATCGGTAGAGATTGTTTTCTGAGTTGTATATTCATAGAGAATGTCTCAATTTCTGATGTACTTGAATGAGTCTGAAGAATACTCACTGATCCTTCAAATCCGACATGTTTTTGTGTGTGTGTCTGCGACAGAAATAGCAACAAGGAGGATACTGGAACTCAGCTGTTCCAGAGATAATGAGAACTGTCTGTCAACAGGTTTATCAGTGACAGACAAGAATGCTTCCCTTCTAACAGTTGAAGGGCGACATTCTTCAGACGCTTCATTTTGACACTTAGAATTAGCTGTCACTCAAAAATCACTGTTAGTACCACAGTTAGGCTCCATCCATCAAGAAATATGTTGAAGTATAATGTAGTCAAGGAAAAAAAAAAGAAAGAAAGTTATCAAACTTAAATGGTTCTTCTCAAGCCTTATAACCACTCAGCACTTTGTAACATTGACCCTTTTACATACATTAAAGACTAATGTCACCACTATTTTTTTACAATCACATTCACTCATACACAGCAAGTAAAGGTTCAGTTTTTTACCCCCAAGTATACTTCAATATGCAGACTGCAGCAGCCAGGGATCAACCTACCTCTCTTCCAATTAGTGAACATCTGCAAGCCCTAGAAGATTCTGTTTATGAGTTTGAGTTGTAAAGCATTCCCTAAACATCCAAATGAATCCTCCTTTATTCTAGTATTTTGGGTTTGGTGTTCAGGATGTTATTAACCATGTGTAATAAACACCACTAATTGTGCTACTGGTAAATTATTGTAAGGCCAGGGGATTATAAAAGGAAAGAAGAGAACGACTGAACAGGATTTGAGCTAATTATTGTTTACATGGCTGAACCATTACAGAGTTCAAGTACGTGAAATGTGAAAACGGAGCTTTCCCCGAAGTTAAGCGCACAAATTAGAGACATTGAAGTTAAATCTTTGAAACACGACACAGTCATGATTATATCCTTTTTGTACTGTAACTTGATCCTGTCAGTGTGACATAATTAAAAAGAGGAAGAGTGAGGAGGTTTACGGTAAGTGTTGATAATTGACTCACATGCAGTCCTTTGCATGTGTTTATCTTTTTAATTATTGTTATACCTACATCAATTTGTGATCTCTAGTTGCTTCCCATGAAATGATCCCATATTCAAACTCTTCTTACTTTCCCTGGCATATTAAGATTTCCCACTATTTCACAAAGCTTTACTGAGGCGAGCCAGACCAGAACTGACAAATCTTTCCGTGGTAGCAAAACCCATGCCCACAATTACTCATAATCATATACTGCTGTAAAAATGACTTGTTAAAGTTCTTTGACTCAAAGTGACACCCATCTAAGAAAAGGTTAGACAGTACAGAGTCAGATCCAATATAACAGAGTAGGGCAAGTGAGAATATAAATAAATAAAATGACTCAATCGGAACAATGCGTAACCACGTTCAGCACAGACGTGTAGACGTTGACCTGCAGGAAGTACTGAAGGCCGGTGGTGCTAGCACTGCTCATTTTAGACACTCTGCAAACCAATTTGACATCCTTTATCAACCGAGTGATGCATGTCGCAAAGTGCCACACATCAGAGGCATTTAAACTAGCTGTCAATTCCAGTATTGTAAAATGTTGAACTGGTAGTATTGGACAATGCTAATGTTGTGTTAAATAAATTGTGCTCAATGTTGACTGTTTTCTTTCCTTTAGACTAGTTGGCTAGTCTGAATATGAATTTCTGTTTAATCGACAGGGAAATTAGTTGCTAGTAACATCCCTACTCCAGCTTTTACTGACTGACAATGCTGCAGTTTAAATGGACCACAGCACAGCACAGTGCAGCACAGTACAAAGCTGGTCAGAAGAGGGTCTGACTTAATTCAGCCGTTGCAGAACAATCCCAAACCCTCAGATCAGATCAGCCTGGGGCAGTCTCCCCTCTTCAGTGACCTCTGATCCCTCCCAGATGTCCACCGTGGTTCCTCTTTGTGTGTAAAGCTCTCCCCTCCTCCTGTTACATCATCGTTGCTACCCCACAGGCAGCTGCTGTCCCCATCCATATTTAACGCCCATTACTTAGAGCTGAATGGACATCTTCAGACGCTGCACAGGCAGTGCTGTTATATCATTGCCAATATGGGACTGGAGGAGCAGCATGAATAGATGTTGTTACATGCATATTAAAGGACGCACAGTAAGTCTTTTTCTGCACACTAGCCAGTGGTTCTGTTTATAACTCTTACAGTGGTTTTACTTAACATATTTGGATTTATTTTTCTGCCTAGCTTGCAAGCCGCGGTTGAGATTGACGAGTCATTCTTTCATCGCTCCAGTACGTGAGATAGTGACCTCATTTGTCTCTCTCTCTCTTTCTCTCTCTCCTCCAGACTGATAGAAACTGATGACACAGAGGAGCCAAAGGGTAAGATGAACCCTCCACTTTCACTGCACTCACATCCTCTATTGTTCCACAAGCTGTTTTATCCCTGAACTAATTCAAGTTCTCGAAATACTGAGCTCATTGCTGATGTCAGATCACCTACCTGGTTTTATAGATGTTGGCTGTTTGAATACTCTGCCACTGAGAAGGAGAGAAAGGAAACAGATCTACTCATGTTTGTTTTTATTGAAACTGAATGTTTTGCCTCAGGCGATGGTTTTCTTTTCAAAAGCCAAAGGGCGATTATTTTTGGCACTTGTGGGCAACGTTTTTGTTCAAAGAGCACCACTCCTCAGTTGATGTGTGAATTAACTTTGGCTAGTGTGTGTTTCTTTGCAAATCATTGATCATTCAAAATCACATCGCAGGTTTGTTTCAGCCAACGAGCGGTATGCACTTTATTTGGTGCTTGCTGCTACAGAGAGTAGAAAGTATACACACAGGCTGCTGACTGCTTTTTCCAAATCACCATCAGCCACCTGAGTGTACGCCGTGTTTGTCTGTCTGTCTGTCTGTCTGTCTGTCCGTTTGCCTTTTTCTCTATTGCCTGCATGCCTTTTTTCTTTTTATCTCTTATGGTTTGGACATGGCTTTGTTGATGTGTGCTTATTGCCCCTCGACGATGTGTGATTGTGTAATGAATACTTCAGTGTGTGTGTGTGTGTGTGAAGGTGCCAGGCTTCAGACTGACAGAGAGAGAGGTGAGGCCCCAAGAGAAAACAACAAGCCCCCTTTTTCAGTATTTCAGAATATTTCAAGGAACTGTTCAACATGTGCTTTTGCTCAACAATGAAAGCAGACCTTTCTATACCTTCAAAGGTAAGCAGGATTGTTTTTAATAAGAATAGTCTAAATAATTTTCAGCTTTAGTAAAAACAACGTGATTTAATCATGCGTAGAATCATTATTTTGTTGCACAATGTGATTGGTTTTCAGCTAGTTTTCCAGTCCAAAAAGTGACTAAAATGTAGCATTTTACTTTGACTTTCTCCATGCACATGTGCATGGCAAGAATAAATAGTATCTGACAGAGCAGGTGTATCCATGTGCAAATAAATCACAGGTTAAATCCAAACACTTAGCAGTGTGTTTGACTTGTGTGCTTACTCACCTGCTGCCTAGGGCAGATCTTACTTCATTACACAGTACAGGCTTCCTTTAAGTCAGACTGGTTTTATCTACAACGTGATATTTAAAGCACAAGAGACAGAGACAGATCCCTTGCCATCCCTTCTTCAATCAATCTTCCACTTTCATAACTACAGAGCTAAGAATGAAAAGTTAGCTTGCATCCAATACTGGCAACAGTGGTGAACCATCCAGACATGTTAGTCATGTTTTTAATGTGTTTGCCCACTTTTCAACAACTTACAAGATGTAGCCTAATACAAGGTCCCACCTGCATCTCCTGTTTTTAACAGAAATAGGTCATGATGTGGAAGCTAGAAACTCTGAATGTCGTTTCAGCTTGTAAAAGATCTAAGTTCATTTAGAAAAAGCTGAAGTCAGAAAATGCTGATTTTGACAAAAATATGTAAATCACTTTACCTTTTGTATAATAATACCCTAATGACTTGGTTATTTGAGAACAGAATATAAAAGACACTAGATCATGATGACTGCTTTAGCGTTAAATGATTGATTAGTTGTATAACAAGGCTAAGACAAGAGAAACAACTGCCCTAGAAAGGAGCACAGAGAGGAACAAAAGACAATCAGTATTCATGTGTTAACTACGATGTGTGTTTGTGTAAAAATAAGAGCGAAGTGAGACTATATCTGTGCGTTTACATGGCAAATCTTGTAATGGCTGGTAAAGGATTCAGAGCTCTGATGTAGAACTCCTCTCATGGTCTCATCCGGGTTCCCCTTCAGCTATCAAATGTCCCAGTGATAACTCCTTTAATTTTTCTGTAAAACAAATCATGAAGATTTGATTAACTCTACATCCTTTTTTTATAGCGTGTATGCTTATATTTGGCCATTAAAAGGTCAACGGTCAATCCAATATTCTCTCAGCAGCTTTGACTGAACAGAGACGGATTAAAAACACTTCTGGAAAAGTCACTAAACTTAAGTGGAGTTTTTTCCGTCTCTTGAGTTTTTCTTTTTTCTTTCTCTCTCTCTCTTTCTCCGTCTTGCGCTTGGATGCCGGATGGATAATGATGTAAGAAAGATTGGACTGGAGTCAAAGCTAAACGAGTGCAGTCTGAGTCACCGCTTGAAATGTTTCATCATCAGATCTAAATCAAGCTCAGGTCTGGACAGCAGGGGAGCTCGGACACATAAATCAAACGTAGAGTATTCGGCTCCAGTGTTTTTGTTTCCACTAGAAAAGGGGAGTTCTTCAGAGACAGGCCATTATTTGTAACGGTTTTGCTCCTTTGTTTTCTTAGGAGGGGAGAAATATTGGCTTGAAATGTTAGATTATGAGGGCTATAAAAATGCATCAAGAGTGGGAGAAGTTTGCTGACTTAAGAAATCTGCGTTGTTGTTGTGAAGTATCATTAAATGTAATGGTTTCCTTTTGTTTCGGATTGGAAGATTATTTTCTCAGGACTGTTTTTGATTAAACAACTCTCATGAATAAACGTCTTTCTCTCTCCCACATATATTCATATACACGCACACTAACAATATAACTGCTTTTTAAGTCCATTGTTTAACAAGAAACTCTCGACTCTGTTTTTACCTTGCCTGTATGTCTGAACCCAACAGAGCTCAAAAGTCATCCAAAAGCGAAGAGAAATATCACAAAATGATTTTTCCAATACAAAGATTTACTTGAGATTATGTCCTGTCAGTGTTCTTGTCTACATTGTCAAATTGCCATTCCCCTGTATGAAAATCTTCCACTTCACCTAGATGGATGCTGCTGTGTGTGCGAGTTTGTCTGTTTTTGTGTGCTTCTTATTGCCTCGCAGTGAACAGCAATTTATAACTGATAGAGAGACAGGTGTTTGTTTGTCTCTTTGGCAGTCTAAAATGCAAACACACCGTGCGTAAAGCATATTTCCTCCCACTGTTGTTGTAATTCCCCCGGCATTGTGTTTGTCTGTTCCTTTCAGGTGACGAGAAGTCTGAGGAACCAGTCAGGAGGACTTCCAAAACATCTCTTTCCAAGGTATGAAAAAAAACTCGGTGACACCACCTGACAAATAAGTGAAGCGTCTTCTGGTTTAACTAGGGTTCGGCGTTAGGCATAACAGTAACAGGTAACAGTTATGCAGTTCTTTCTTTCCTCTGAATAATTCAGTAATCGCGTCACATTTAGTAATTGCAGTTATGTTCCATTACACTGACGTTTGTGGACAGGCCAGTCTGTGTTTAACCAGCAGTAAGAGGTGGGTCAATATAAATGTAGTCTCACTTCTCTCAGTGGACAGACTGGTCTAGGAGGAGCTAGCTTGGCGCCATGGAGGCAGGGAGGTGATTAGCCTTGACTAAAAGAGCCTCATGTAAGAGGCTTAAGTCCTGGAAGGCGAGCAGCCTGAGTTCGAATCCGACCTGGGGCGCCTTTCCCTTTGGTCATTCCCCACTCACTCTCTCTCGCTGGTTTCTGACTATGTCCACTGTCCAATCTCTAATATAAAGGCATAAAAAGCCCCCTGAAAAAATAAGGTCCTTGAGGAAAGGATGCACAGGTTGGACTTGAACCATGGCCGCCCGCTTTGAGGACTACAGCCTCTGTACATGGGCTGTCCGATCTAACCACTAGGCCAGCAGGGTCCCTTAATACTATTCTCTGCTTACCAGTTTGTTCTCTTTAACTCCTTTGTTCATTCTGTGAATATGTCCAGTTACATGTAGCGTTGATGTTAGGCAATCATAGCATCGGAATCTGTTGCTTCGCCCGCCATCTTGGAAATGTTGTAAAGATTAGGCACTTCTGCATCCTTCTTACCTCATGTCTTGCCTCCCGCTGTGAGTGGCACGTTTGAAAGTTTCAGGAGTTTATGTGTGGAAAGGGTTTATAAGAAGAAAAAACTATTGCAGGTGTTTTTGCCTGATTGACAGTTGTGTCTGCTGTCAACCTCGATGTTTCTCGCCCTTCTCATCTCAACTCTATCGACGCTTCCCCTCTTGGCTCTAACTTTACATTCCAAAGAACACAGCTCACTCTAAACTAAATCAAAGGCTTTAAACATACATTTAACAGATGTATGATGTCACAGATGCGCTATCTTAAATGTTTCAACAGTTATTTACTTGCTGTCTGTTCCACTGCAGCTGGTGTACACTTTAACCCCTTTGGGAAGTTTGCTCCATTAATAACAAATTGAGCTGTTTTAAATAACACTGAGCTGTCCTGCACCTGGATGCACACTTGGCCAAAGTCATGACTACACACACACACACACACACACACACACAAATGCACAGTTCATGGAGGTCTTAAATCAGCGAGGGGAAAGAAATCCGCAGAGTTGAAAGATCCATTCAGGCACAAACACTTGATAATGTCCTGCATATTATGGGAGATATACTCGTGTGTGTGCTTAAAAATGCAGAGATTATCACGCTTTCCCAGGCTGCTTAAGTATCGCAAGTGGTTTGGTTGCATTATTTGGATGAAAAAAGCTGTTCTGACTTGGCCTTTACAGAGCAGGAACAGTGCCAAGGTTCGCCAAGTGAACCCAGATGGCAGCAAGTTTCTCCAACCGAAACCCTGCTGGGAAAACATTCAAGGCCATCTCACAATTACATGACTGTCTTTAGTCTCCCTCTGTCCTTTGTTCTGACCTAGATCTCTGTTATTTCAAGATGTCTCGATTGAAAGTCATTGGCAATGACAGATTCCCCCCCCACCACCACCACCACCACGCCCCCACCACCCCAACCCCCCCTCTGCTGTCATCACTTTTCCCTTATCACTCATTTCTCCTCCACAGTCCCTGCTGAGAGCTAGTGAGTCAGTGTCTCCAGCTGGAGAGAGTAGGTTACAGTATGTCTGCTTTGCACCATTGGAAGGAGGCAGTAAAACGTTCAAACTTCTGGGAGAGCTTGTTTATATTTTGAATTTCTTAACTAAAATTCCTGAGTGTATATAAAAAGCTGTTTTGATCAATTCATGCTGGGAGGGAAATGAGTCCCTTCTTTGTGATCAGTCTGTGTGGAAGAGGTCTCTAATTGTGTAAGCCTTGGGATGTAATTTTGTGGGAAAAAGGGGAGCATTTGATTACGATTTCTTTGCTCACATTCACAGCTGGAGATCCACTTATCTATACCGGGTCACCTCAGGGCCTCGCTAAAGTGTCTACTGACAAGAAGTTTGACACAGCTGTACAGATCACCCTGTGGGATGTTTTTAAAAAAAGAAAGAAAAGACATTGGATAAGACTCACCTTATATCTGAGTTATACCCAGTAACATATTCTGTGACATCACATGAATCACTTTCCACAGAAAACCCACACAGGATTAATGTGTTAACAAGAAACATCCAATGGAAGCACAAACTGAGGGTTTTAAAGTGAAGTATGAAAGAATTATGACTTTTGAAGTGATACAAATTTGCTTCTTCACAGAGTCCATGGTGCTCTATAATACGAATTTCTAATCTGGTTATTAGGACATCAAGTGGAAAAAAGATTAAAGAAACACATTTTTATTCTAAGCAGAGTATTTCCATATACCATCTACTTTGTCTCATGGGTATCTTTAAACGTGAAGCTTGTAGAAAAACTTTTCAAAATAAACCAAATTTCTCCCCTGAGAGTATTTCTCTTAAATGTGGAAAATTTACAAGCAGTCCTTCTCTTTCTGTTTCAGCTTTCACAGTATGTACACAGGGTGTTCTCATCTTTATTTAAATACTTCACAATCACTCCCTCTGAAGTTGTTGTGATTGCTCCCTCTGAGGAACTCAAGAAAGGGTTAACTTTGCTTAAAGGATTGGGCGGAGCCTTGTTCATTCATTTACTTCCCTTATCATGAATTGTTTTTTTTTCTTTTTTACAACCAGTGTAGGGCTTCAGCAGGATTTCTGTCTGACGTGATCTAAACCCTTTAAGTTAACAGCTACTTTTCTCTCAACCTGTAGAACCTGGAGGGGACTGAGGATGGAGGCAGCGGCCAACGAGCCAACGCCAGAGTGAAGTGTCAGCTGATGAGCAGTCAAGAAGAGGAATCCTCTGGCAGGTAGGAAGCTTCAAACGTGTTTTAAATCACAGCAGAGTCAGCTTCTCAAAGAATTGGTCATGATAGCAGAATCACTTTACAATGAAAACTGTAAAGCTTTTTACTTGAAAGGTATCGGTATTATGCTCCAACACAAACAGAAAGAAAACAAGTTTAGCTTTAAAACAAAATGACACACAGATTGAACAGGGCACAGAGTTAATTACAGACCAGTTCAAAGGGCTTTTTAATGATATAAGCAGCTGCAGAGTTAAACCTGATAAACCTGCAGAGCTTCTATAATACCAAACACTCTCTCATGCACACATGTATACACACAAACATGGAGCCATGGTGATGCAAACCAGAGTGAGTTTAATAGCCGCAGCAGGGCGAGCCAGACTGTACTTAGCACAGTTACTGTGGCATAAAAGGACTGAACTGAGCTGGACTCTGTGTGGCTGTGTGTGTCTGTGTGAGTAGAACACAAAGAGCTCAAATTAAAACATTAACCTAAGGAGCAAACTCAAAGCAAAAGTGAATGTGTCTGGTCATCACAGCTTTCCAAAGGTTCAAAACAATCACATCAGACTCCTACTGACCTACAGAGCTGATCAGGGCTTGCTTTGGTGTATTAGCAAATTCAAAGAGTCTAACTTCTTTAACATCATACTGGCTCAGACTTCCTCTGATTACAAATCAGTTTTTATTGATTTGACAACGCCCTTTGTGTAAGTAAGAGGAAAGACCTTTTAAAGTGAGTGCTGTGTCTCCTGAGTGACAAAGCTCTATTGACACATGCACAAAACTCAAACTGCAACATCAATTCAAATTTACCGAACAAACAATCAGAAAGATTTCAGGTGAAGGCTGTTTAGATTGATATATACATTTTCAGGGTCTGCTTTGTATCAACGGCTTTGGATACAAAATGTAGTTTTTGTAACTTTCATCAGGGTGATTATCTGCTCCAGTGTTCATTTACAGTACATCAGGTATTGCACAATAAATACAATATAGACTGACTACATGAAATACCAGGTTGTATGTCCATTAAAGAAATAGATGTCATATGATATGGCAGACTGGCAATTACTAAACTTTGGAATTAAATCCCTTTTGCAGCTAGCTCCTTACTGCAGTTCCATCATGTAAAGACTAAACCAACTTACTATTTTTTCTTTCTTCTCTTCTTTTTCGTTGTTTTTGTTGCTATGTTTTCCTGATAACAGCGGAAGCAAAGTAATGGATGAGAAAGAGGCCTCAGAGGAGCTTCATGAAAATGCTGCGACTGTAGAGGAAGAGAAGGTCAGTATCCCCCATCTCACATTTTATTCTTAAGTGTTTTCTAAAGTTTTCATGCTACTCAGTACAACTATAAAAGTGTGTTATGTAATATCACATGGTTTTCATAACTCATTCGGCTCAAATCTAAAAGCACCCTGTCTGGATTTTGTATGGAAAGACGATATTTTGACCACCACTGCAGTTCAGTAAAAACATTTTTTTACCATCTCATGCGAGCCAATTCCAAAACTCTTACTCACCTTAACTCTGGCTCCGTTCACCTTCTGGATCTGGTTTTGCTTAGTTTTGTGTTTTGAAGTTGATGTGTAGATGTAATTCATGTCAGTCACTGATGTACAGTTGTAAGGCATACACACACACACACACACACACACATTATGATTCTCCAGTGGATAAAACGTGATTACGTCAGTGTGTTGTTAAACTGATCCTCACATGTAATCACAGTATGTGCATGTACTGTATACACACCACACACACCCACATGTTATACACCCTGCTGTTTTTCATTGAAGACGACCACCTGGTTAGCATTGAACTCTCACACTCGACTGGACTTACGGTGTGTTCCCCCCTTTATCCCCTCCTAAATCAAAACTCCCTAGTGACCTTTTTACCTGTCAGCAAGTCATCTGCTGTTGTTTCAGCTGCTGATGAATCATCTAAGAAATAGCCTATACTGTACAGACAAAAAATCGTGTTTATATGGCTAGTTACCGATTTTTTTGTTTGCTAGAAGGCAATGCACTGTAGTTACTCTTTAAAAGCATGAAAGCATTCTCAAAAGGGTTACCATTTTAGTTTTTGGGGAGGGTAAAAAAGATTACAAAATTACTCTGAGTACATTTTCTTTGAAATCTAAACATGTTATTGAGTGTATTGGAAAAACAAACAAATATCTGCTCTCCTTGACACCTTGAAACAATCTCATCCTTTGTTGGCACCCTGATTGCTTCATTTTGATAAACTCTATGACTTCCTTTTTTCATTTGACCCCTTTCTCTGATCACTTAAGTGTGACTTTTTGTTGCCCTTAGTCTGCTTTTCTGTGTTTGCTTCTCTCCTTTGAAGCCACAAGCTTTACCCAAAATGTCTTCATGACAGCCATTGGTCAGAAAAGGCTTGAACAGTAGTAGCTGGAACATGAGTATGTGTTATTTATATATGTTTAGTGTCATAAAGTCTGTGTACTTGAGAAAGTAATAAGCTGTGGTTTTATTCTGTTTATGTGGAGAAAACGCATGAAAATGTTGGTTTGGTCTTTTCCAGAAATGATAAATATTATGTCTGGTAGTTAAAAAAATAAAGCCTTTGTTTTCTCCCTCTCAACTCCAGCCTCCATCCCTCAGCAATGACCAAGATTCCTCCCCCCCTTCCTCTTCTCCCTGCCAGCAAACCTCCCTGCAGCGCCAAGACTCTGGGCCTCGGGGCATCAGGGGAATACTAAAGAAAAGCCGCTCTACCAGCTTGGAGTCAGACCACAGTGAGGGCTCGACGCCTGAGTGCACGCTGCCGGCCCGCCAGAGCAGCGTCACCCTTAGCCACCCGGAGAGCGAGGAGGAGGAGGAGGAGGAGGCGGAGGCGGAGGCGGAGGCGGAGGCGGAGGAGGAGGAGGAGGAGGAGGAGGAGATGGGGGAGATGGAGGAGATGGAAGAGGAGGAAGAGGAGGAAGAAGAGATAGAGGAAGAGGTGGATGGGGAGAGTGACAGAGAGGATGAGTCACTCACTGAGGATATGACGGATGGAGGAAGCTTCAGCATCGACACACAGCAGAGGGAGGAGAGTGGCAGCAGCAGCGGGGGCAGCTTTGAGGAGATGCGGAGTCCCTCGCCTGATGAGAGTCTGGAGCAGAGGTCCTCGGTGTCAGAGGATGTGGAGGAGCTGGAGAGCAGTTTGGATGGAAGCACAGGCTCTTCTATCAAACAGAGGTCATTAAATGTACACAAACAGAGCACACTTATAATACATAAATGTACATATGTTAGTCAATGCAAAGCTAGGAAATAAAAAAAAAAAAAGTGAATGCTTAAAAATTACTGATTTAAATTTTGACTGAAACTAACATTTATCTTTCAAATATTGTTGCAGTAGGGAGCCGTCTGAGGGCAGTCAATAGTTACTCTCTGCTTTCCGATGGTATATATTGCTTGGATAGTAGCCATCGATTGTACACTACTTTTCAGAATGCATTATGGGATACAATAATTGGAATATAGAGTGTACGACAATGCTGACCCGTCCCTAAAGCTATTTGGTGCAAATCATCCCCCACTCTCTCCTCTCACAGCTCCTGTCACTCTATAGCTGTCCTATCCAAATAAGGGCAACAGCCCAAAGAATAAACTTAAAAAAAAATATGTTATTGTTTGTAAGACAGTGCATGCTGAAGTTGAATTTTGTCTTTTCAGACTGGCAGAGTTTAATACTGAAGGTGAGAAGACGGACAGACTGAAGAAACTCAAACCATCTGATCTGATCCAAACGTCTCTGGCTGATCGCTTTGGTCAGCTCCAAGATTCTGAAAATGCCTGGAGGAAAAAGGTATGTTTTGAGTCCTTTTCTTTAACAAAAACTATTTTCCCTGTGTCTATACGGTAGTTCTATCTGAAATACAGGTCAAGACTCCCTGAAAACAAAAGCAAGTTTCATGGATTTTTTTTTTTTTTTTGAGCTGACCCTGCCATATGTTGAGCCTTCCTCTCAGCTTTGTGTTTTCGGGGAGAGAAAGATTTGGCTGTGGATTTTTTCTTCCGCTGCTGATTCAGCTGTTTTCCCCAGAGTTGCTGCTAAGAGGGTCTGAGGTTAGTGTTAGGGCTTTGGTGGGGGCGCAGCAGATTTGGGAGTGGTGATACTGGATGCAGAGATCTAGAGCTTAAATAGCCTCCAACAGAAAAAGAGGGTCACGCCCATTCCTCTTGTAAAAATAAAACCCTACACTGACCAAACACCTGCACCTGTGTAGACTTTCCTGCCTCACACATGTAGATAACCATCCCTAGGTCATGAAGTTAAACAGGTCAGCCTTTAACACACAAGATAACTGACATATTTGGAAGTGCATGCAGGTTTCAACAAGCTTTTCCCTTTAGCAAACAAGACCACCCTCGCTTAGCTTTTAAGTGGGAAAAAAACATTCCTACACTCTGTTATAAGCTTTGCATAGAGAGTCCAAGTAAAAAATAGTGCATCAGCAATGGAAAACCCAACACGGATAACCTTAAAACAGCAGTGATGTCATTTTTAGTCATGCAGACCATCTTCTGGCTTGATGTCTGTCCAGATCAATGATCCTCTTGAGGGGATTTCTGGTTTAGGCTGCACTTACATCCAACGATGACCTAACCTTTAAGAAAATCCGCTCTTAGTCTGGAAAAAATAAATAATTTAAAACTAAGTACAGACAGCCAAAAAAATGAACAAATCCCTGGCTGACACTAAAAGAAAACTGCAGTCATTTTTACATTTCGTGTGGTCTTTCTGCATTACGATAGATCAACAGTAAGTCCATAAAAGTTTAGTGTAATTCCTTATGTGGCACAAAATCTTCATTCTCAACACTCGCACGCATGAGAGGGAGCCAAACGGGTGTCCAACATGTCTGCGGATTTCTTCCTCCTAATTCTATCTGTGGTTACTGCCTATGAATTTGTCTGGAACCTACTGTGCACTGTGGCTACTACTTAAAGAAAATAACTCACATGACAGATAATACATGGTTTGGCTAAATCATTGGCATTGATGCTATTAGTTATGGTGCATTTACTTGCACGTTGGAACCATGTTGTTACATTTTTGTTTCTCTCTTGAGGAAAGGATGCTGGCTTCACGTTTAGGCAAGCAGTTTTTATCTCACCCGCTGCCAAGCCAGAGCAGATGTCATGGCTCTTTTGGTTGATATAGAGTTGACCAAGGGAATGTAACATGCATGCTTACACGCCAGGCTCACCTTCAACCAGCTCCAGATGTTTCCTGTTAAACCAGCTGCAAAGCTGTTCTGCGCACCACAGTTGTGTTGTAAAGTGAGGCATTGCTGGAGAATTAATTAAAATTCAGTTATGACAGCAGTTTAAACAACAGATTTTAAAGTATGCTTGCCACAGAGATATTAAAATAATATTGTGGAAACTACAATTTGCTTTCAAAGCCCTCAGGATTTACTTAATGTCTAGGTTTTGTTTTCCATTGATGACTCATTGAAAACTGGTCGGATCCAGTCCATTAAAGACTAAAGATCAGTTGGAAACATTTTCCCTAGGACATGTATCACTTAATCAACTAAAGATGAGTTAGTTATCCTTAATATATTGGGATTGTTTTCCGGAAATAGACAAAAAAAGTAGTAAAAACTTTCCCACCAACGCAATGAGAAATTTCCCCGCTATTTATCCATGCTTTGCTTTCTTCTCTTTCACCCTTCACATGCACTTTTACATACAGTCTGGTTCCCTTTTCCTCCCTCTCCCAACCTCTCAAACCTTATCCCAGCTTCTAAGTGACCCATGTCTCTCTTCTTTAGTCATCCATGCTAAATCCTGCCCACTCCAGCTGTTGCGGTCTTATGTTACCCTGCTTCTCCTTTTTTCCTCTCTACTCCTCTGATAACTTCCATTTCCCTTTTTCTTTTCTTCCTACTATTGCTCCTTCTTTTCCTCTTCTTTCCAGCTTCCTCTGTCTTCACCTGAAGACCCTTCCCCTTTCTTTGACACCTGCCTGTCAACCTTTCCCCGCCCCTTCAGGTGAGTGTGTGCACATAGGACTTTGTGAGTTATATTTTTCCCCCTTTATTCTGGGCAACTTTACACACTCATTGCTGTTAAATCAGTGCTGTCAACACACTGCCTGTTGCTACATGGATATGGTTTGCCGGCCCCCTGAGTCGGTCGATATCTGTGTCAGTGGGTTTGGCCAAAGTACTGAAAACACCATACAGTAAGGCAGGGCTGAGAAAAATGGTTTCCTGTCGGGGGTTTGCGGCCCCGGCCCTTTCCTTCCCTCCCATCTCTCTGGAGTCTGTCAGGCCGAGGTATTTCCCCTCTCTGATCGACTCCAGAGATTGGCCGCTAGCTGGAGGGACTGTGTGAGATGACAAGTATTGTTGTGTATAGAAGCCTGAAGCTTCAGTGTTGTTTATAGTTACAAGAAACATGATTTTCTCCTATAATATAGACGTTTGTCTCATTCCTGTGTAAAGTAGTTGAAAACTCACTTTTGCTCATGTTGGCTTCAAACACTGCCAAAAACAGCTCCATATGTCAGCACATTTCTCTTATACTCTCTCTCTTATACTCACTTTGAAGTTCAGCTCTTGTATGATGTCTCTGTTTGTTGCCAGAATGATTGAATGTATCTCTTTGAACTTTTCTCTCATGTCAGGCTAATATTTGACCACGGCATGCAACATGTTAAACAATAGAGTGTGAGAAAAAAAAAAAAAAAAAACGCTTTAGTAAGTGAAAGATGAAGCAGGAGGGGGAGGAGGGCTTGTCTCTGTGTTTTTGAGTGCAGGATTCTCAGAGGGAATGTTTTGGCTATATGACTCTCATGTATTGAAAAGTGCCACATTTATTTTGAACAAAGATTACATATTACAGCTTTGTTTACAACTGTTTACAACTCTGCTTCATTTTTGTTGTATGACAGGTATATTTTCTTGCTGGTTCTTTTCCAGTGTATCAAAAATGATTGGTTTGGCAGGATGGACAGTTTTGCACAGTGACAGTTCAAAAGCAAAACAATATTGTTAGAGTCTAACAGTCTATATGACCTCTGGTTCTTTTGGGCGCATTCAAACTAGGCAAAGTTTTCCCGTACCGTGCATGAAGTGTACCGTACCTGAACACGCATCGGATCACTCACACTAGTCAAACGAACTGGACATTAGGGGCTAAGTCAGGAAAAAACAATGTTTAATCCATCACAATAACACTAGATTTTATAAAATACATTTTAAATGTTGTACATTTGAAGCTCATTACTCCTGCCACAGCATTTTTTTTTTTTTTAAAGCTTCTGACATCTGTGAATGATTAAGTCAGAGATGATGCTTTGACTTACAGTGAGACAGTCAGTCGAGCATTTTTATCCACAAAAGATTCTTCTGTGACCCTAAGAAGCCTGTAAGGGGAATCCCAAATATTTGTTCAGCATAATCTTCCTTTCTCTATCGCACACACTGCTCTGCTGTTGCTCTCATACATATTCATAAAGGGTAGACTAACTCAAGAATATACTGTATATACCTGACTAGGCCTATCTCCCTCCACATGAATTTGAAAGAGTCATCCACATGTTCATAACCTCTCGTTTGGATTATTGTAATTCATTGTATTTTGGGGATACAATGATACCTAGAAAGGAAGGCAGTACTCATGGTACACTACAGGCAGGGAATTGCTCATTATTTGCTGAGAAATAAGGCGAGGCAGCCTGTAAAAACCCAGGCAGGGCCATAAAACGCTTCAAATATTTAGAGGTGGAATATCATTAATTACTGTAACAGCTCCTGGGGTCCAGGGGGAACAAGCCAGTAAATCTCAGCTAATTCATTTTTAATGGGCAAGTTTCAGGTGCAAAAATGGCAGCAGGAGTAAATCATGGAAAGAAAGCTCTACTGAAGAGTGGCTGATTGGTTGCCTTTATTTTTTTCAGCCTTTTATACAATCTTTTTTTGCTCACTTGTAGTTCCTTCACTGCATCCTCACTTCTGTCTTTTCCTCCCTTGAAATAATTGGACAGTAAAGCGTTTGACCTACATTCTTTAAACGAGTCCTAATGCTTCATCTTAAATTGAATTGTTCCTCCAGAAATCCAGCGTAGCCTTGGAGCCGAAGATGTCCCTGGCAGATAGGATGAAGATCCTTAAAGACAAGGAGGAGCAGTGGAAGAACAGAGGCAAAGGAGCAGCCAACGACTCCACCCAATTCACTGTGGCTGGACGCATGGCCAAGAGAGGTAAAAACACTGTGTGTCATTGTTGCCTGAATAGAAGATGGGTGGCTTATTGTTCTGCTGTAATAGGCAAAGACAATCTGGCACACCTTCAGTGCTACTGTATGAGTTTTACTTTTCCTAACCTGGTAAGGTTGCAGCGTTTACATTTAGCTTTACATTAGTATTTTTATTTTCCAGACAAGAAGTAGACACTAATTTCAAAAGATTTACAATAATTGCAGCCTTTATTACAGCTCATATTTAGATTTCTCTCACCTCACAGCTGATCCTCAGCAATACAGGGGCCCTCAGCCTACTGTGGTCTTTATATATAGAATATCTTCAGTGGTCCTTGACACAAATGTGGAGCCCATGGAGATCCATCCATCACCTACACTGCTTTTTCCTGTACGGGGTCGCGGGGGGCTGGAGCCTATTCCAGCTGTCATTGGGCGAGAGGCAGGGTACACCCGGGACTGGTTGCCAGTCAATCACAGGGCTGACATAGAGACAGACAACCAGTCACACTCAAATTCATTCGTACGGACACTCCTCATCAATTAATGTAATGAGTTTTTGGACTGTGGGAGGATGCCAGAGTACCTTAGTAGAACATTTTGTTGCTTTTTTCCTCGTAGTTGAAGTTTAACTGAATTGTTTTGCACTTTTGGACCATTGGTCAGACAAAACATGACCTTTGGGGGGAAAAAAGAAAAAAAGTATCTTCTGGAAATGTTTTATTGGCAGTTTTCACTATTTTCTTACACTGTACGGCATAATGCCGATCAGAAAAATAACCATTACTTTGCATCCCTAACTTCCCCCTTGTCTTTCACCAGGTCTTGTGTTGGACACGGGAAAAGAAGAGTCTCCTCTCATTGCTCTCAAAAAGTGTAATGCCACACCAGTAAAGCCACACGAAGGTAAAAGACTTTCTCCTTTGACTTTTAGTCAGTTTGCAAGTCAAAGGCATAATGATTTTAATAATGAACCAGATTAATCTGTTGACAGAGTGGATTTCTATTGAGTAGATTGTATTGATTCTGGATCTGAACTCTTGTGGTGACATGTCAAGAAAATGCCACAAAGTCCAGCTGATAGAATTTTTGACAATATCTTTAAAAAAAAACCCACAAATCTGATAGTAGTCTTTACATTTTTAAGATAATATCCAGTCCAAATATTAACAATGTATTGTAACACCAAGCACACTAAACCCAGACCTCTGTTTGTTTTTGTTGCACAGAAATCTCCAGTAGAAGTGACGTAAAGGTAGAAGGAGATAAAAGGCTTGACAAGCTTGAGTCTTTCCTCGACAAGCTCCATAGTAAAGGTAAAATCTGCATATATTTTTTACATATTTAAATTGAATCTTAAGTCTCTTTCACTTCTACTGAGCTGTATACTGTGTATCAAAATCATCTACCTTGACCTTGTGGATTTGTTGTTCACCAAAGTCACTATCCAAGAAAGAAAGCAAAATGAACAAGAGAAAATGTTTTTGTTTTTTTTAGTAACACTTACTGTTCCCTCTGTTCTGTGTTCTGTCATGGTGGTCGGGCCAGGCGTGAGCCAAAGCAAGTCATCCACCATTGAGGTGATGGCACAAACCGAGAAAGAAGTGATGACCCTGGATGACGAGGAGACGTTCGGCAACTTCTACAAATCTGTCTCGCCCTCGACGCTCCAGGACTCCAGTTTGGTTCTGACAGAGGAGGACCTAAGCCAGATCCAGGCTAACACACCAAAGTTAGTCTAAGATTGAAATGTTTTGCTATTATTTGAAGACTTTTTTTTTTTTTTTTTTTGCCGTCATCAAACTAAGAAGGACCACTTTTGCACATTTGTCTTCAGGCTGGACTCAGCCGTGGCAGAACACAAGCGAGCTGTACGACCAGCCAGAAGGAATCAGGGCTCCAGGAACCCTCTGCGAGCTCTGGCTGCCCGCAACGACATCCGAAAGGTCTACACTGAGCAGAGGCTGAATGTAGCAACAGTGGAGACTAAGAGGATCCAAGTGGAGAGGAGTAAGACTTCTGAAAGTTACTTATTGTCAAGCTGTTATGGTGCTCACCTTAGCCTAGCTTAGCCCATCACTACGACCTGCTGCTCTTCTGTCACAGTGAAACCACTCACCAACCACATTTAGCCCCATGGGTGCACACAATATGTCAACTCCAGAGCAGCCAGGGGATATGTAGATAAGTCATAAAAGATATCCCAGTGCCGACACTTCCCTTTTCCATGCACTTGTCATTGTTTACTACAAAATTCCTATCTGTATTAACATGCAGATATCTGATTATAAATATTCAAAAATAAATGAATTAATCAGATGATGACAGAAGGGCACTTTTCCTGAATATAACCAAAGACTGCTCGAACAAAGACAAGACATCAAACATCACTCCCCTCATCTTCAGTAAACTAACTTTCACTGAAGTCTTAGGAACCTTTTATCATGTCGAATGCCCGTTATTTGAAGTAAATGACGGGAGCTGATCTAAACGTAAAAGCTGATATTCATGAATTAGATGCTCAGTTTCAGATCAGTCTGCTGCAGTGCACTTCCTTTATTTGATTCTTTATGCGTACTCTTAACAGACCACAATTACCTTGTCACAGTGACAGAAGAGGAAGTGATTATTAAAGCTACATACAGGCTGTCAACAAAAGTAAACGCATCAAGGAAGAAACTAGAAAATATGTATTGTTTCTTACGGTCTTTGTTTTAAATCTGATTGTTGTAATAATGGGTGTGATAGCAGATCATGGCAGTGTTCTCCCTACCATTATATGGCCCCCAATGGCAAAAAAAATATTTTTTTAGGCTTTTTGTGCCTTTATTGTAGAGATGGGATAGTGGATAGAGTCGGAAATCAGGGAAAGAAGTCATTTAAGGATACCATTCCGATAGAACAGGACAGCTGTCATTAAAAGTAACGCATGAACACCAAGATTGCTAAAGTGTTTGTGTCGGCGTCCGTCTGCCCGCATCCCCCACCTGCTGTAAACCTTGGGGAAACACCGCATGGTATAATATTTAATAACAATGACCTCAAGTATGTGTTTAGCTGTGTCCGTGTCTAACTGTCTCTGGTCCTTTCCGTCAAAGTGGCAAAACATGCCAGATCAAACCTGGCTGACGTGGCCTTGGCGGGTCTGGCCAGCAAGGAGAACTTCCGCAAGGTCAACCTGCGCAACGTCAAGTCCACGGATGTTGTGACCAACAACAGTGCTCTGCCTTTCAACAAGCTCATGCTCATTCGCATTAAAGGTCAGAGACTCAAGGGAATGCACTAAATGTTTGTTTGGCAAATATATCTGTTGAATAGAGGGGGGTTAACCATAACCTGTAAAAACTGTTACTGTAATTGGTTACTCTCAAATGTCAATAATTATTCATATCAGTCATTTATCTGTCCAGGTATGGCTGTTTAAAAGTATAAATTGTTTGCTCATATCTTTCAGGTCGGCGGCACGTTCAAGTGCGTCTGATGGAGCCAACGGCGCGCTCCCTGAACAGTGGTGACTGCTTCCTTCTCATAACGCCAAAACACTGCTATATGTGGAGTGGAGAGTTTGCCAACGTCATTGAGAAAGCAAAGGTAGAGAAGGAAACCACAGATGGGAACTTTTAAATCAAGTTAAAAACAAGTTTTGGAATTTTAAACGAGGTGCTGATGCTGCATTGTAACCTGTTAAAATGTGTTCTGTTCGGCCAGGCGTCTGAGATGGCAGCGTTTGTTCAGGCAAAGAGGGACCTTGGGTGTAAAGCCCCGCAGGTGACGAACCTGGAGGAAGGCATCAACACTGATAGCAGATGGGCCAACGAATTCTGGAGCCTGCTCGGAGGAAAAACCAAATACAGAGGTTCATACACAAAGTTAAAAGTCTACCTACATACCCCACCATCATCATCTGCTTTCAATACATCTCTGGTTACCTTTAAAATCATAACAAGGAGAATGTGTGTGTGACAGGGGCTGGGGAGCCAGAGGAGGACGAGCTGTATGAGAGCGGAGTGTGTGACTCTAACGGGGTGTACAGACTCCAGGGAGACAAGCTGGTGCCTCATGAGGACGCCTGGGCCTCCATCCCAAGCGTCTCCTTGCTCGATTCTAAAGAGGTAACACAGCTGCACACCAGAGTAATGAACTCATGTTTCTGGGAGGCTTTGACAAGTGTGGAAAACAGATTTGATCCATCTTACACCTGGCTAAAAAAGTCTGGGAACAGCACAGAAAGTCTAAAAATAGAATTGTTTAAAAGTTAGAAAAGTACACGAAAAGCATTTCAAGAAACAATATTTCTGTTGTTTCTGCATTTTATGAATTGCACTTAACTTTCTCTGTGTCCCCTCCCTAATGCCCATTCTGAACACCAGGTCCTCGTGTTTGACTTTGGCAGTGAGGTGTACGTCTGGCATGGGAAAGACGTCTCCTTGGGTGACAGAAAAGTGGCTGTTAAATTGGGTAAACAGCTCTACAGCGGCAGCTATGACTTCAGCAACTGCAGAGTGAACCCTTTAAACGCTTCCCTGCACGGATAAAGATGTACCTCAGTGAGTATCTCATGTTAAATCTGCATCCTTCAGTAGCACTTTGAGGAATTTGTTTTAGGCATTTTATTCTGAATAAAAGCAGTTTTATACAGTAAAACATGTTCTGTGAGTTTGTGATATCCTTGGTTGTGTTATTGTAGCCCCTAGTGGTTTTGTCATGCCAGTGCAGCTGCAGCCTGGTAGAAGTCTTTAAATGACTTCCTTTCTGTGTGTGTTTCTGTGATTTTCAGACAGGGGGAGGGTCGTCCGAGCTGGACTCTGTTTGGTCGGCTATCAGAGCACAATGAGACGGCCCTCTTCAGAGAGAAATTCTTGGACTGGGCCGAGAGGAAGAAGGAGGAAGCAGCACAGCTCGAGGAAGTCAAGGTAAACAGGGTTAGACTAAATGTGTTATTTCTATATTTCTATCCTTTTTTTTTTTTTTTTGTCAAATATAGTTAATGAAAGTTCTTTATGTTTAACTATATCTGTTTGTTTTCTTTCAGAAATTAAGAACAAAGTGTGATAAAGGGATTATGTTGACAGAAGTAACTACTGGTACTTTAAACTGACTTATATTTTTCTTTTCAGAGTCCAGTCCACTCAACTGAGCGTACCTCCTTCGACTTGGACCTGCAACCATGTGACGCCAAAACCCTGCTTGACAATGAGCCAGGGCCGGTGAAGACCGTCCTTGAGGGCGTGGACGTCCAGCGGGGCCACGGCATTGTGAGGGCAGATGACGGCAGACAGGCGGAGCTGTCCACAGTAGCAGTAGACTCCTGGCACATCAAAGAGCACGGAGAGGAGGAGCTGCCTGAGGAGAGCCTGGGACAACTGCACCAAGAAGACACCTACATCATCCGATGGAAGTACTCCATCACTACACTCGGTGAGTCAAGTGTTTGGCACAAAGGAGGCCGGAGGAGTTGGTTTACATTTGAAAATAAAGAAAAGTCAGAAGATAATGGTAGAAGGACTTTGTACCTGCTTGACTTCACTTAGTTGGTGGTGTTGGTTTTCCTCAAAGCTCAAGTTCTGATATCTTCCACTGTGTTGTGTTTATTTGTCAGTGGGGAAGCGACAGAAACCCGGTGAGCTGAGTGCGGGGGCTCCTGGGAGAGAGAGGACTGCCTGTTTTTTCTGGCAGGGTCGTCACTCCAGCGTCAGTGAGAAAGGAACTTCTGCGCTGATGACCGTGGAGCTGGGCAGCCACAGGGGGTCACAAGTGAGTGATCAGTCATCACAGCCACACATAAGTAAAACAAATGTTCTCTCTATGTATGTATTTGGCATATACATAAATGTATGTGTAGATTTACCCTTTAAAAAAAATGTGATGCGAAATAAAAAGTTCTAAAGTCTGAGTGTATCTTAGAAAAGCATTTTAAGAAACTATTGGAAATTACATCTTTATAAAGCTAAAATAACATTCCAAAATCAGCACTTCTCACAAATAAACAATTGAACTGTGTTTAAATAACTTCTTGAGTTTTAAGAGTGTTTCCATGTTTACCACTGGTCTGGATTCAAAGGTTTTGCAAAAAAAAGAAAGCAAATTCAATGTAAAATGGTTTAACGACATGCATTGCATTGTTGCCTTGCTCGTGAAGATTCTTTGAATATGGAGCTTAATGAAAATAATAATGTTGGCGTGGGCAGACTCATTACTGGTGCAGAAAACAAATGGTAAATCAATTTGTATTTTCTTTTATGTATTTGTCTCTTCGTGGCTGTCCAGGTGTTGGTGACTGAGGGAAAAGAGCCTCCGTGCTTCCTCCAGCTCTTCCAGGGAGGTTTGGTCATCCACAAGGGCAGCAGAGAGGACAGTGCCAACAACACAGGTAGAGAAAAACACCATTTGGCTTTTAATATTTCATATCACATTAACTCTCTGAATCACTCTAACCATGGCTGCTTTCACCCATCCAGATGGCTGGAGGTTGTTCTGTGTCCGTGGTGAGGCCGAGGTGGAGGCCTCTCTGGTGGAGGTAGACTGCCAGCGAGCCAGTCTGCGCTCTCGTGCCAGCTTGGTGCTTCTGAATGCTCAGAAATCTCGCCTCTACCTGTGGCACGGCTGTAAAGCTCACGCCAGCGCCCGGCAGGTGGCTAAAAGAGCTGCGGACAAAGTGACCCAAAGGTGAGGCTTGGAGAAGATGTTTTGATAGATCTCCTGTTGATTCAGATATATGGAGCAACATTTTTTCCTGTGCTTGGTCTTCAAGGTGCCCCTCAGAGTTAGGTCTGAGCAGTGCAAGCAGCCTCGAAGTGGAGGAGGTGGAGGAGGGGTCTGAACCGGCAGAGTTCACAAAGGCTCTGGGTCCGCAGCACAAAAAGGCCTACGACTGTATGCTGCAAGGTGTGTTCTCAAGAGAGAAATATCATCAGTTACTGCTTCTTGTAAATTCACAACCTAATGTTTGTGTGTGTTGTCTCCAGATCCAGGGAAGTACAATTACACACCCCGGCTGTTCCGGTTAAGAGCGAGCTCAGGGGTGTTCGAAGGGGAGGAGAAGCTGTATCCAGCCAGGGTGATGGAGGGAGTCATGGCCATGCCCTTCCTACAGGAGAACCTCTACTCAGCGCAGCAGCCAGGTACTACAAGACACCTGTGGCAATAATATTTAATAGTGTATTTAAAAAATTATTATTTTTCCAAATGAGTTCAGTGAAACAGAACATTCAGATTTCTTTCTGGAAAAAAATAATAATAACTAGTTCTGATCTATTATCCTAGAATAATTTTAATAGAAACTTATTGTTAATAAATGGTTAGAAAAAATTAAGTGTTAATGTATATAGTTATAATATCTGTCAGTACTGCAGTAAACAATAATACCTGGATTATACAACTCCTGAATGCTTATGGATTCATCATGCAAGTGATGTAATTGTCATGCTGTTTGTTCCCAGCCCTGTTCATGCTTGATAATCGTATGGAGGTGTACCTGTGGCAGGGCTGGCAGCCTGATGACACACAGTGCACTGGTTCCGCAAAGATCCGCTGGAACAATGAGAGGAAGTGCGCCATGGAGACCGTGCTGCAGTACTGCAAAGGTAAGAGGAGACTGATGACCATTGTTGCTAAATGCGTCCTTGACCAACTACAATTATTGGAATTCTTCTTCATCAAAAGGGAAGCCACAAACAGAATTATTGTGATAAATGTAATGCATTGAACTAAAGTCCTACCTGATCATTCACCAAAATGGCTTTTTTTTTCATTTTTAATCATTGACAGTTCAAAAAATGTTCACACACCAAGCAGCAACTTTCAGTGTGCAATGAGACAGTGCAAAATGCTGCAGTTCATCAAGTGTCCACGGGAAGCTGACTGCAAGAGCCTACAAATTAACATGAAAATGCCCATTTTTAAAAGCAGAAATAAACATGTTTACAGCCTGTTTAAAAAAACAGATATTTTAGTTGCATTAGCCCATTTCTTAAATTGTAAAAAATTGTACTTGGGTGAATTATTTTTCGAACCAGCGTTTTGATTTCATGAAGTGTAAGAGTCACACAGCACTGCTGGCTTCAAAGCACTTCTTCAATATCTTTTCAACCCTGTGATTTGACTTACAGAGAAGAATTCTCGGAGGCCCCCTCTGGCCTATCTGGTCCTTGCAGGCTGTGAACCCCTCACATTCACCAACATCTTTCCATACTGGGAGAAAGACGCCAGTATCCCTTCAAAGGTAGGATACTGTTTTTTATTCTATTGTGATGTCTCTGTTATTACGTCAGAGTGGAGTATGCAGTGCTCCATGCTGTTGTCACCAGTAAGAATCCAAATAATCTCACTGAACCAGATCGGTTCAGAAACAGCCGGCATGCAGTCACTTCAATTAGAGAGAACAATTATAATAAAAGAAAAGAGTGTAATAGTATTGTGCAGAAAACAACACGAGAGATTTTAAATAAATAAAGACAGCTTATGTCAAGTTTCAATTCTTTATTCTTCTATTATTAAATGTTTTGTCATGTCAGCATTGTGTTGTTTATATCTCGTCTGTGAGATGTATTATGTATTCTAATCAGTAGGTTCAAAAACTACAGTCTTAAGAGTGTTCTATCTGTTTACCTGCTGGAACTGACATGTGTGCACAGACTGAGAGCTCCAAAAGCAAGGTGATCCTCGTGAAGGAGGCTCTGTCCAAGCTCAGTAAACAGCAGTACTCCATCGAGGAACTGACCAGGAAACCACTGCCAGAGGGAGTGGACCCTCTACGCCTGGAGGTCTACCTGTCCGACCAGGACTTCAAGGTAGGGCTGCGTTCAAACAAACAAACAGATTTACCTCTTAACTCACAATAAAATCCTGTATCTGTATTTATGCCCGCACACAGAGTAGAAAAGTTACTTTTGATATACAGTATGTTTATGTTACACCTGACATGTTCACTGATTGTTTCTTTTTTGTCTTCTGACTTATTGTGTTGCAGACGCTTCTTGAGATGAGTCGAGTCGAGTTCAACGCTCTGCCAAACTGGAAACAAAAGAATCTGAAGAAAAGCAAAGGCCTCTTTTAAACGCATCTGTTTGGACACAAAACTGTCTGTTTTTTATGTTTGAAGCAGCTTGTCTTTACTATGTTTATTCCCCTCATAAAAAATGTCCTTATTTTTAAAGGATTAAGAAAAGAAAATGTACAATTGTGTTTAAATATTCATCTTTTTTTTATAATCCCTCTTTTAACACTTTTCACCCGAGCATTATGTGCAATTGTTAATCTTTGAAATGGTGAACCTCCAATTATAAATATGTAATATACTATGAATGAATGTGTTATTAAGTGTACGCCAAACAGTGTCAACTTCTGGGTGGGAATGTGTTTGTATGTGGAGTGTCTGTCTGAAGACTGTGGGAGTGTTTATTGTGATTTTTGTTGGTATTTCCTGAAAACATATAATTGGAACTAGGTTATTCAGCCAAACGTTTCCTCTTGGAAGTTGACAAAGAAAAGAAGTAAAAAAAGCTTCCCTCTAATCTGTGATTGTTTAAAAGAAACGTGATGTTTTAAAAATCATGATTGTATTCGAGACATCTGATTTGTGTTGTAGGAGAAAAAAATATTTTTTATCTTTTTTATATTTCTATTTTAACCGGCGTGTTCTAAAGTACACTCCAAAATCTCAAAGCAAATAAAAACATGAAACCTGAACACTGACTATGCAAACATCACGGTCATCCTTAGACTGACCCAAAAATATTTCTTAAGTTTGGTACTGGATACTTCCTGGTTTATATGAAAAGCTGCCTGTGTGCCTGTGATTGTAGAGCTATAAACAATTGGTTGTTGGGACTCAATGTGACTGTTTTGTCTTCTTATAAATGTTGTATGTGTTTGTAATTCTGCAACTTTAAAAGTATTAAGTATATTTGTGTTATGAGAGAGACAGCGAGAGAGTAACTGTGCTGTATAAAATTGAGCATGGCGTTAGTTCAGGCAGGCCACGGAGTCATGCTCTGCTTTCATGTCAGTGTTTCATTGTGAACAGCTGATCTCATGCAAGCCCTCTTGCTGATTAGCTTCTAAGCATCCAATTTGCTAATCACACTTATGCCGCCTTATTTAAGATGCTCTAACCTGCCTGCTCTTTGCTGCTCCTTCTGCAAGCCGCGTTTGCAACCCTCCTCTGCTCCAGCTCCTCCTTTTATGTTGTGTCTGAATTAATCAATGTCATGATGTCATCGATGCCTGCTCTGTTTGGGGGAGTTTTTGCTGCATCTCTCTCACCTTAAGCTTTCCTTGTATGCACGGGAAGGGCAGGAATGTGGATGCTTCCCAAGTTAACGCGTGGAAGGGCAGGGAGATCCCAGAACGGAGCCATACCGCCAAATAAAAATATTTTTAAAGTATTTTTCTTGACAAAGTGGTCCTGACTGAACTGCCTTTGTAGCTGGCATCACAAATGTAAACTTGTGACGATATATTATGTGTAATACAAACTGTTACCATGAATGCCTGTGATATCTGAATAAGAAGTGTTATGCATTTTGTCCAAAAAAATGAACTTGTCAACAATCTTGTATTAATTGTTTTCAACGTGCATATTTTTGTGGTACATCCAGACTGTGTTATAATTGGGGAAACTGCTTCCTTGCCAGATTTATTTCCTATCATCCAAGGTAAACATTGGTGGTTGGGAAATGAGATATGACTGCTCAATATTACCCTTCAAATAAAGTATTTCTAAAAAATGTTGGTTCTGATCTTTATTAAAATAGTGTAAGATTGGTCACAATTTTACTCTAGAAGAAAAGATGTTTTTCTTCGACTTTATTGAGCTGTTTTGCAGAGAAAGAAACACGGGTGTTAACGATTCAATATTTAGCTTTTTAGAGCATTTGAAGCATTATTAATGATACCTGGGTTTTCTGGCTGTGCAAGTCCACATGTTTAATATGAAGCAGGTCAGGAGTTTAGAATTAAAACAAGAAAAGCATAGTTAGATCTAATGAAATTAACGATGGCTCCATTTATCTTGGAGGTTCATAAGGCTCTGAGAGATCCCTTGATGAGGTTACTCTAAATTAAACAGTCTGATAGGATTGCGTGACATCTGTGTATGTAGAGCAGGGATGGGCAACTTTGGTCACAGCAAGGGCCACATTCACTTAATTCTCACTGCCAGGGGGCCAACTAGTAGTATACAAAAACAGTTACAATCAATTGTGTCTCAAATTTAACTCAACATATACCAGTGATGAAATACTATTGTGGACATATTTCTGGTTTTCATGATTTTGCTTCATGTTTCTAATTAATTGATATGTAAAAATTAATCTGAGGGCCATGTTGAGGGTTGATGGGGGCCGCATGTGGCCCTGGGCCGCCAGTTGCCCACCCCTGATGTAGAGCATAAAAGGGAGAAAGAATAAGAATAACCTTTTCATTAAAATGGAAAAAGAAACCATATCTGCCAAGAATGAGATGTTTAGTTTTTCTCACTCAAAATTACTGTGCACAACACTGTTGGGGTAACATTCAGATAACCAAGATACAATTAATACAATAATACAAATAAAATATAAAACTTATTTATGATTGATATATCTTTCTGGCCCCTAGGGGGCGTCTGAGGCTTAAATACAGTTCTGATAAAAGCATCGGAGAGATGACTAGCAAAGCGTTAGCAAATATGCCACGATTAACACAATGAACACGTAAAGCAACCCTTGCATTCAATCTGGCTCGTTTGGTTAGTGTTAGCGTTATACATGTAAGTCAAACTTATCAAACTTAGCATACACGGGCGGCTTAAAGCTTATAGGTTTAAAAGTGTGCTGTGAAAAACCCAAATATCGATATTAAACTATTTAAACGGTGCTTTCTGGTGTTGCTAAAGAGAGTAAAGTTAGATATATTAAAACATTGGCGTGTAAAATCTGTTTCAAAGCCTCAATGTGGCAAGGAGTTTAATTTTGTGAAATTCTTAAAATATGCAGCCCTAAACTGAGACACGATAAATGAAACTAATCCTACCTTCACTCAAATGTACTACAAAATATTCATGATGGCTTAAACTCACAGCAAATTCCAAGAAAGTTACATAAGCCTAGCATAAAAGAAAACCTGGCCTCAGTGTTTCTTATGAATACATCTACAGGGTGGCAGTAGCTCAGTCTGTAGGGACTTGGGTTGGGAATCAGAGGGTTGCCGGTTAAAGTCCCAGCACGGACCAAGTCCAGAAATTGGTCTGGTAGCACTTCCTGAGCACTGCTGAGGTGCACTTGAGCAAGGCACCAAACCCCAGGTTGCTGTTGACCTGAGACCTCTCCATTAATGCATGTCCATAGGATCCTGTTTGTGCATTTGTGAATCATGTTCATTAAGTGTAAAAAATGAATTTCCCCTCACTGGATTAATAAAGGACAAATTCTTCTTATTAAATTACAATAGTCATATCCCTGATTTTGCTACTGTGTCTTTAATGAGAGAAGAAAGAAAGCTTTTCATACAGTCTTTGTTAGGACCTCCTGCGTCTACATATGGTAATGATACTTTTAAAACTACTGCAATAGGTGAAAAGCAAAACATTTAGTTGTGTTCACATTCAACCACCAGGGGGCGCTGTCTGTCCAGTCTAACATGCTGTAAAGCTTTCCTTTTAAGTGTGTGCAGCTTTTTAGGCCATACACAATCAATAAGTGATGAGTAGAAATAAAACATTTGAAATGACAACAAACTTGATTTGAATTAGTTTTTTGTTTGTTGGAGTGGGGGGGATCTTAAACATTTTGTAGAACACCCTGTCAAAACGGTTTTTGAATATCAATTATGCTCTGTTTGACTCATAACTGGTGCTTTTAAACAACACCAGCTTTTTTGAGCCACCCTTGCTTATCTTAGGAGAAGTAATCTATGTAAGAAAATAGGTGTTGTAAAAAGGCTGTACGTTTTTACTGTATGAAGGCTATTGCTTGTAGCGGTCAATGAGCTGTGACACTGTGCCATATGTTTAGAAGCTTAGTACATTTGAGATAGGAAAAGAGAGATCCAGCTCAGGAAGAGGAGAGTGGATCATATTGGAGCTAGCTATCCTGACAGTGGGGGGACCCCTTTGGGTCACAAATATTCCTTTGGTGAACTCTGTGGTTGTACTTACTCTCTGATGTACGTTGCTTTGGATAAAAGCGTCTGCTAAGTGAATTGTAGAATTGTAGAATTGTAGAATTGTACTAAGCTTTATGATTGAAACAATTGCCACAGTTATTGTTGTTTATGTAAATGCTATTATTATAAGGCCATTTTTCCAGTGTGTGGACTTTTTCTGTCAATACTGGGAGGCAGCACATCTGTTCAGCACACAGCCAGGGTCAATGACATCCTGTAAACACACAAAGATAGGTATGGATCACTCAAAGGACACATCTATTAAATCATAAGTCTCAAGTCTAAGTCTCATTTCTATAGATCCTCCTGTCAAACACGCAGCAGCAGCAGCGTTATTTCCACAACAGATGGCAGGAGGATGCCGCTGCTTCCTCCAACAGCAAATGGGCGGCTGGTTTGTTTATTTATTCTCATCTTTGTCCTGTGAGCATTAATCACCTGCATCGCTCTGCCTTCTGGCTCAGGTGCCCCAGCATCCCACAATGCGTCTGACATGCAGGCAAACAATGAGGCTGCTTATAAAAGATTAGCTTGCGTAATAACAGGCTGGATATGAGATGATAGAGCTGGATGGGCAGCTTTGGAAGGAAAGAGTCGAGATGTCTGATCGGGCTCCAAATTCTGTCTAATCAGGAGCCTGGGGGCATCCTAAACTTGGCATGAACTTGTGCTTAAGCAATATTTTATAACGTGTGCTCATCTTATCTATGGCATTCCAAAAAAGTGGCACAAAATACGTTATATGCATTAAACTTAGACTTGTTTTTATCTGCTCTCAACATAAAACAAAGTTATCTGTTTTCCAAAATAATGTAGCTCATACACACTTTACAACCATGTTATTTAATACACCTTTTCAAGTACTTTTATGGACAATTGTATCTTATTAGAAAAATACATTACATACAGCTCAATTTGTTCAGGCATTGATATATGATCATGAGGATCTGCTGAAGTTAAACCAAGTATTAAAAAGGGAAATACAGATTTCTGACAACAGAGCTGTCAGAAACTCTGAATGCGTTTGGTATTTCACACATAACCATGTTACAGGATTATTGAAATTGATCCAATAAAGAAAAATAAATCCTGTAAACAGCAGTTTTGTGGTCCTTGATATTGGGAGCGGTTCAAAGGTTGTAACAACAAATAATGCAAATGATCTTCCTCTTAATGCAAAGATAGATGGGTCACAGAAGACTATAACAGATGTCACTCCTGTCAGCTTAGAAAAGAAAACTGAAAGTGAGCATGTGTTAAAGAAAATAGGATTAAAGTAGATTTGAAAGATGTTGCCTGGTTCAATTAATTTTGAATACTTTGACAAAAAATACATAAATATTTTACCTATAACTGATGAGCAGGGCAGTGGTCATGTTTTTGTGTGGAAGGTAATTGACACACTTTGGGCTTCTATTGGCCCTTGTTTCTTAAACATGAGGATAAATCTACTGCACCGAAAAGACCTTCACAGCCACCAGATCTAAACATAAAAGTTAAAACCTTACAACAAAAAGTTGTCAGTCTCTGTTATAATCAAAGTAAAAACTTTTGACGTTAATGAATGGATCAAAGCAATAGTTTGTTTGTTGGATTACCTTTCATGCCAAGTGTTGGATGAAAAGTGTGCTACCACTCTCATGTCTTCACTCCAAATGACTACTAGCCTGACTTGGTCAAAAGGATAAACAAAAAAAACCCTGCTGCATTATGTTTTAATCTAGCCATACATAAAAAAAAACATTATAACACAGTATATCTGACAGACCATTATTCAGCAGGGTAAAAAAAAAAACAACTCCATTGGATTCTCAGTGTCCAGTCTTTATGCTAAGCTAACTGGCTGCAAGGCTAGCTGTAGCTATATTTTACCATCCAACCATAGGTATGTTTGGTATCAATCTTTTTATCTAACACTCAGCAAGACAATGGGAAAGTGTATTTTTGTAAGAACTGTTTCTTTATTGTATGTGTAGAAATTGTAAAAAGCTTTTTTTGTTGGATTTTTTGTAATTCACAATTACACAATTCAAGAGAAGGATTTTTGCCTCTATTTCAAAACTCCACAAACAGATGAAAATAGAGCCATTGTTAAAAAAAAAAGAAGAAGAAGTTTGTTTTTTAGTCATACCGATGAGTGATGGGGTCATAATTGCAGAGTGTTAAACAGAAGGCTGACAAAAGGCAAGATTGAATAAGCTTCCAAATGAATCATGGTAGGAGAATTGATTGCCTCAGAGGG